GGCCCTCTCTCAGAATGCTTCCAGGCCCTCTCCCAGCATGCTCCCCAGCCCTCTCCCAGCATGCTGCCAGGCCCTCTCTCAGAATGCTTCCAGGCCCTCTCCCAGCATGCTCCCTGGTCCTCTCCCAGGATGCTCCCAGGCCGTCTCCCAGCATGCTCCCTGGGCCTCTCCCAGGATGCTCCCAGGCTCTCTCCCAACATGCTCCTAGCCCCTGGCTGGTGGGCTGTCAGAGTTCTCCAAAGGAGGCCTCTCCCCCTAGGCTCCATTCCAGCTGCAGAGACGTTGGAAGGCGCCTTCAGCGCTTTCTGAGGCCTCAGACGTGGGCAAGGAGCAGGGAGAGGCCTGGTCCCTCCCAGCCCCCAGCCTGGGCCCACCTGGCCCCTTTCCTAGCAGAGCTTGGACCCTGACCTCATTCCCCATGCCCATTCTCACTCCTTGTGGCCTCTTCTGGCCTCTATCCCCATCTCGCTCACTGGGGCTGGCCGGCAAAAGCCAGAGAGCCATGGCCCAGCTCTCCCTCCCTTCCTGCTACCTTAGCCCTCCCTCAAGAGTTGAGAATCGCCAGGGTCATCCCACTTCCCCCTTCTACTGTCCTCAGATACAGCCACAGAAGTGGCTTATTCTAGACTTAGCTGATCTCTGTGGGGGAAAGTTTCAGGGATAATCCAGTCAAGGTGTTCAGAGCCCTTTGGTCAGGAAGTCCTCCCTTGTATCTAACCACTGCCCCCAGGCTGCCAATGTGATTCTGTCACTGGCCCCTGGCCTATAAAGGGACTTGGTAAGGATGACCTTAAAGTCCCTTGCAGTCTTTGGAACCAGACAAGTATGAGTCTGAATCCACTTGCAAAGCTGGATGGCCTTGGGCAAATTATCCAACTTGTCTGAGCTCCAACTGCTTCCATCAAACAAGGAACGATGATGCTGACTGCCTTACAGGGTCATTGGAAGGCACCCACAAGCCATCTACAGACGGCCCACCTGGAGCGTGCCACATAGCCAGGCACAGTCGATGCTCAGCACGGGTCCAAATCAAACCAGGCTGTCCTGCTCCCCTAATAAACCTTGCCATGCCACTCTCCTCAAAAGAAGCTTCCACAGTTCCCACTTGCCTTGACATTGAAGTTTTTCCAGAGTCTGGCCACAATCTATTGCCTGCTCCCACCCAACGCCACACCTCCCCCACCCTTCCTACATCTTACGAAGGACCTAAAGTGTACCCCTGCCCCTCCTCTTTCCCATGGCCCATGCCCTGTGCCAGTGCTCTCTCCTGCAGGAAGTCTTCCGTGACCTTGCCAGCCCACACTGATCCCCATTCTCCAAGCTCCCTTACTCCATAAATTCGGCTCCTGACATCTTCCACCCGGCAGCCACAGTTCCATTTTCATAGGCTCCCTAAGGCCAAGGGCCACCCACACTCACCAGCTGCTTGTTGAAATTCTGGACACACTGTTCAAACTGCTCATCCTTTGTCTCATCCGCCTTCCCCAGCTTCTGGAGGACCTGCCAAGGCAGAGGGAGAAGGGAGAGTGGTACTTGGAGAAAAACGAGTGGCCCAACCGAGAGTGGCCGGTCGCAATACCACAGACTCGCCCCACCCAGCCCGGGCCTGGAGGCCACGGCCACGGCCACGAGCATAGCTGGGACTGTGATGGTCAGGAGGTCACGGCTGCTGTGATCCCCAAGGGCAGGACTGAGTCGCTCCAGTCTTGAGACCTCTCCCCGCCCCATCCAGGGCTCGCCCCTCAACCAAGAGGAGGAGCTTAGGACAGGCCTGCTGTCACGACCGAAACCAGGAGGAGGGGGGCTTCCAAGGCAGCATGGGGGATCGGGTGCCTGCTTGCTGACCTCACACTGCACCCTGGGTGCCCTACTCCCACCCTGCTGCTGAAAAGTGAGCTGAGCAGGAGAGGGGCCAGCCAGGAGCCACGTGACTCCACTTCCTGAGCCCAAGGCTCACGAATACCAAAGGGAGGAAAAGCAGCCTCTGGGCTGGGAGGTGACCCACGGGACAAGGCGGGGCAGCGAGGCCACCGGCACAGGCCCTGGGCACAGGCTCTTCGGTCACTAGGAGTCTTACTAGATTTTCGGGGGTGATCTGCTCCAGCCTCCCTGCTCCCTCCTCCACAGCCCAGTGGGCCGTGCTGGGCTTCTCCTGGCACTCACACTCACACGCATTCACACACACGGCCTCACAGCCACACGCCCTACTCTCAACTGGAAATCTCCCCCCTGGTGAGTCACAACTGTCCCTTCTCAGCTGTGTCAGGAGAGCAGAGGTGGAGGGCAGAGGTGCAGAGATGGGTGGTAAAGGCAAAGGACACCTATGGCCAGGAGAGGGGGAAAGACCTAAAAAAGGGGGGAAAGACCTAGAAAAAGGGGGAGCTGGACCCGGAACCCGAGAGGAAGCCCTAACCAGAAGGGCTGGCCCACCAGGCTCTCGAGAGAGGGGAAGGGAGGCAAAATAAGGAGGCAAAATAAAGACACAAGGAGTGGTGAGGGCTACGGGAGGGAGAGCAGGAAAAAGAAAGATGAGAGATGGAGGCGCAGAAAGGGGATGCTGACGCAGAGCTGGAGGCGGGTTTGCAGGGAGACAGGGAGGCAGAGACCCCCTCTGCGCCCTGGGCAGGCACCTCCACGGGAAGCAGCAAGGACAACATGATCAGCAGAGGCAGCGGCCAAACGGCAACACAAAGGAGAAGGAAACAGGCAGCAGTGGGTGGGGGTGGCAGGTGGAGGGAAAAGGAGGGCCCAGGGCAAGGACGAGCATCAGGTGGGGCTAGGCCCCACGGGCCCGGGGCGCCTGTGAGCAAGCGGGCCAGCCCAGCAGCTGTGCTAGGCCAGCAGGCCATCACCAGCAAGCCACTCAGCTGTGCCCTCCTTTCAAAGTCCCTGAAGTGGGCCACACTGCCTGGAACACAGCTTTGCCTGCCCAGCACCCAGGCCAGGGTGCTGGACTGAGGGATGCCCAGTCCCAGAACAGAGCCCGGACCCTTCCCACCACTGACTGGCCCTAAGATGGCCCGTGCTGCCCTGTGACACCTTCTCCGGCTGGCCCAGGAACCATGGCGAGGCCAGTCAGCTGGCAGGCCCTCTCTCTTATCGTGTAGTGCATTTGGCCATGTCTCACCAAGCGCCTGCTCTGCACCCGGCCCTGGGCATCTCTGCTGAGGCCGCAGAGATCGATGAGACCTGGGTCCAGTCCTGAGAGAGAGGGAAGCACATAGGACTGTGGGAGCCCTGGGTGGAGATCCCATCTAGCCTGAGCAATCACAGAAGGCTTCCGGGGGGGAGTGGCAGTTCAGACGGAAGAGAGGGTTTGCAGCAAAGGCGAGGAGACCAGAGAGATGAGGTACATTACTAGGGAATTTTGAATCACTCAAGGAGACGAGAGGTCACAGAGGATAGTGAGGGAGGGTGTGAGTGGCAGGAGGGACAGGGGTGGGCGCTGGGGCATGGCCCACCAACAACTTTATGCTACAATGATCAGCACGCAATCTACAGGGCAAGTGCAGCTGGATGCCAAGGGCTGACACCGAGGTAAGAGAAAAGCAAAACAAAACCACCATGAGCAAGAAAATCGGCCCTTCCCACAATCCACAGGTTCGCCCTCTTCCCCTGGGCAGCCATGCCAAGCTGTTCCTGTGGAAGCAGAGTGAAGCTTCGGCGGTGCCTGGCCCGCTCAGCACTGAGCTTGGGTAAGTGACTTACCCTCTCTCAGATGCTCACCCCACAGCCCCACTACCGCCAAAGAGAGAAATCCAGAAGTCAGCAAGGGCCGCAGTGAGCCAGAGGCTCCCAGGGAGCAGGGTCAGGGCCTGGCCAGCCCTCAAGGGAGGAGGACTGGGGAAGTGCCCTGTCCAGCCCCTGCCTCTCCTTCTCCCTGAGGAGATGCCCTCAAGGAGGAAGGGTCCTCAGCCCCGCTCTGCCATCAGGGCTCCGGAGGGCTCCCAGGCCCCAGATGTGCAGGCAGACACACACACCCAGCCCCAGCTCCCCAAACACAGCTGCATGCTCCAACCAGACAGCTGAAGCCACCAGGGAGAGCCTCAGGCCCTGAGAAAGGCCACCACAGTGAGACTCTGCCAGGCAGTGAGAGATCTTGAGATAAGGGGCTCTTTCTCTCTGAGCCGCAGGTGCCTTGTCTGGAAAACAAAGAGAACATTAGCACTCCCCTTAAGGCTCACTTCTGTAAAACATGTCTCTGTACCTGGCCCACAGTACACACTCCAGTAACGGCGACCCCCTAAAATGCATCAGAGCAGCCTTCACACAACTAGGGGCCAGGCCTGACAACAACCAACCCTCAAATCGGGTCCAGACTGATGGCATTCCAAGATGCTAGACAGAAGTCACAGGCACACACACTGTACCCACGTATGCGTGGGCATGCATGTGCTCACAGCAAGCTCTTACTCATCCTTCAAATCCTTGCTCAGGCAACCCCTCCTCTGTGAAGCTGCCCCTGCTCTCCCCCTTCCCCACACCACTCTGGACCACTTAGGGCCTGGGACCTGCTCTCCTCCTTGCTGGCCGATGTGCTCGAGTGTCTGCCTCTGGCCCTGCCCCAGCCATGTGAACATGGCTGAGGTTGGGGACAGCGTCCAGCCCTCTCTCTGTCCCTAGCTCCTGCACAGGGCTGGGCACAGCGGGGACACACAACAAGTTCTTGGTGGCTGCTGGCTAATCTGAGCTGTGGGTTTTGAGGGCAGAGTCACGACCTTGAACAAAACATCCCATCTCCCAACCTCAGTCTCCTGTGACGCAAACAGGAGGGTCCTGTGCGGACAGCACTCAGCCTGACACACAGAGCCCCTGTGAGAGGCAGCTGCTGGAGTCAGGATTAGACTTGGCACTCACATTAATCTGAGTCTGGTTTCGGGTGATCCAGGCCAGCTCCAGTGGTTCCCGGCCTTGGAGAGGCGGTGTGAGGGGGTGACCAGCACAGGAGGCTGGGCCAGGCTCCCGCCTCCATGTGACCTCAGGCTAACTGCTTACCCTCTCCACACCTCAGTCCCCACCTCTGACATGGCAGTAACAACCGTGAGCCCACGCGGCCGGACTCAGGAAAAAGCCCAGTCAGTGCACACGGCCCGGGCCGCATTTAATCCTTGCTGCACTGCACCACCCCATTTTATAGATGCGGGAAGCGGGGCACGCGGCCCGGGCCCCCGTCCTCAAAGAGCTCCCAGTGTGGCTACTGGAGGGAAAAACAAGCTGGGCACCACCCGCCCCAGGAAAGGGCCAGGACAAAATTCAGTCCGGCAAAATCCCACAGCCTTGATGGCCACCGGCTTCCTTTTCCCACCCTCCACAACTGGGACCCCTGCCGTGCCCCAGCGCCGTGCAAGAGGCCTTTCTGACTGGTCACGGGGGCACCAGACTACAGCCAGCTCCTCTCTGCCACCGAGAAGCTGCTCAGTCATGCCAGGACCTGTCCCTATCCCCACGGGGAGGCCCCAAGGCTGCTCTCTCCAGCACCCACCAGTCCTTCACCTAGGACACACGCACACACGCAGAGCCCTCTACTTGCTGAGAGGGAAGCTGTGGCCAAGGCCATGGGTCTTGGGGACACAGGTCTTCCACCCATTCACCACACGGTTAGTGGAGCCTCCCTGTGCCAATCTCACAGACCAACCACCAGGAGCAGCAGGGGGACTCCAGGTGTCCAGGGGGGCCCTGGCCCACGGGGGCTCAGGGAATTCAGGATGACTGAGCTGGGTTTTGAAGGATGAGCAGGAGTTAGGTAATGAGGAGGGCCTGGAGCAGAGTCAAGATTCTCACTCTCTGTCCAGGGTTATGTGGCAGGGAGCCCCAGACACTCCTGTGTCACACTTATCAGAAAGCCTTTTTGATGATGGGACAGAAGACAGGTGCACAGGCCGCGCCACACCCTGGGGTTAGCCTGGTGAGGGCAGGGGGGCTGAGCACAGCAGGCCTGGTGCCAGCAGTCCAGGAGGCTTGTCAGTGCCGCTGTGTCTCCTCTCACCACATCCTCGGCTCAGCCAGATAACAGTGGAGCTGAAGTGCCTCGGAAGGGACAACCCAGGGCAGAGCAGGGGAGCTGGTGGCCGGATGAACCTCCCTCTGACAACATCCACAGTTTAGCTTCTCTGAGCCTGGGCTGTGAACACTGGCAGCCCCTCCCTAGGTGGGGTAGGAGCTCATCGACACGAATGAGCACCTCTTGGTGACAGGGCCCCCTGGGGCTCAGTGAGAGTTTCCTGTGGCCGAGGTGCTACAGAGGAGGGAGCTGCCCCTTCCCCAGCCTCTCAGCTGTGGCCTTTCTCACAGCCCAGAGCAAGCTGGCCCACTCCCTGCTGGTACGGGGTATCCTGCCAAGCCCTCTCCTCTCCTCCTACCAGCCAGCAAACAGCCCCAGGGGACAGGCAAGCCCACGATGAGCACATGCCACACTGCACAGCCACCAGACCCAGAGGGACAGGAAGTATCCCCAGGGCCAGTCTTGTTTGAACAAGGAGCAGTTTATCACTGCCCACCGA